TTAGTCTATAGTCTGCGAAGCGAGGCTCCTACCAGTGTTCCAAGCCCGCGACGCTTTTGCGCAGGAAAGGTCGCCTCAGAAACCTTCTTCACCGCTTCTTGATGACTCGCAGCTCGTTTCAAAGCTCACAGAGCTCGTTGGTTGGCGAGGTCAACTAAGGTAAACTCCCTTTCGAAAACGACAAGAGCGTCGGGTGCAGACCACGCACCACAAGTGACGACGGCCTCCACATCACGTCAATGTTTTCTGCTAGTGAAATGATTGCAGTTGTATTCTATCAGTGTCACTAATAACAACCATCATTTACCGAAAATCAGCTATCACTATAAACCGCTACTAACCAGATTTACTTGGCGCCAGTTGTGGTGTATGGTCTGCACCCAACGCTCTTCTCTTTTTTTTTGAAGGGGAGGGTAGCTCTGAAGCGCGGCGTAGTACTCAACGAAACTAGCAACAAAGTAATCTTTGGAGCTCATTTTCGCAACAATTTCAAAATAATGCACTTCATTCTTGGAATAGCGTTTTTTCAGACGAGTTGCACCAGCGTATGAAGTCAGTTTTCAACGGGGATCGGCAGAACTATTCAGGAGATGGTAGGCGCTGTACACTGCCAGCTGCGATCAGGGCAACGCCCAAGGGTCTCGGTAGCGTCGTTGTACCTAGTTCTACTTCACACAGTATAGGCCCGCTCCCAAGCTCCAAAGGACTGTCGAGCCTGAGATATTGGACGCCTGTCAAGTTTCGTGAATATTTCTCACTCCCCTCATATGAAAGGGACCCCTTTATCACCGAATTCTTCCAGGTAACCCATGTACGGTCCCCTCCTAAATATAACAAATATGATCCTCGTTTAACTTCCCACAACGAACGGTTACACTACTGGGATAGACGTGTTCCTTTAACCCGCTGAACATCCAGGAATGCATTAACCTACACCTGGAATGAAGTTTCGCCGATTGATGATGGTCTTTTTAGCCTCCTACATTCCGTCTTACAAGGAATAAATTACAAGAGAACGGGTTGTGCCTTGAGGAACAAGTTATGAGAGGAAATGCAATTTGCACACATACGAGCTAATTTACCATTGTTCGCTGCTGTACCTCCTCATACCAACCCAGGACACCAACGAGCGATTAGTGCAGTTCGCTAGCTGATGTGAGTACTACCATGTTTTGTTTTCATAGTGGCTCTTTTCTGGAGTTTCTTCAAGGGTTTCTTGTCTGACGCCCCTCCTAATCGTTATCTATTGGATGAATAGGAGCACAAAATATCCAATACGGTTTCTACTTACGATTAGTTACTGAACAGCGATGACCGCTATCCTCCGATTTGATCCTAATTAAATTTATACCCTTTTCCGAAAACCAGATGCTTGAGTGCAGACCACACAACACAATTGACGACGGCTTTCATAATGCGTAAATGTTTCGAGGCCCAATAAAATGGACTGGTTGCAGTTGTACTCTATCAGCTGTCGCTAATTGCAACTATCATTTATCAACTATCAAACATCACTATGAGTCACTAGATACCGGAGCTAGAGGAGGCCGCCGTCACTTGTGGTGTGTGGTCTGCACTCGATGCTCATCTGTTTCTGGGAAGCAGAGGGTATCTATCTCCCGCTTTACATTTATCTCAAGACCAACTCACTTTTTATGGGTAATCTTCAAGCTTCTAGCTTTCAAAAGCCCTAGTGCCTAAGGGAAGGACTAAAGCAACAGGAAAGTTCTGCATCATACTGGTTCTTCTTTCCGAGTGCCGTTGAAACTATGTCTCGGAATTTTTTTACCGAAGGTTCTACTCCACTTGCCCTCTATGAGCGCTGATAGCAGTAGATGTACTCATTCAAGAACGAAGTGAAAACTTGTTTTTGTGGTCTTTCTAAGAGCCATATAAATAATGCAACCCATGAGAACAATAGCAGAGAGAGAAAAAAAAACCCAACAACGTCAGCGGAGGAGTAGCAAAAAGAGGGAGGTCTACGAAAAACAAGTGGACAAGTCTGGAGGAGACGGTATTTTTCACTTTACTTCCACTTTTCCGAAAGTTCATATACACTGCGTCCCATAATTATACGTCCACCCAAGAATTTCCCAAAATCTCATAGATATAGATGTTTCAAAAAAAAGTCTTCTACGTCACAATATATCGTATATAAATACGTAATTGCCTATGAACATCAATTTTCTATTTGAGATCACAGAAATTTTTTTTCAATAATTTTTGTGTAAAGGGCCACTCAGCCAACGTCCCAAAATTATACGTCCACCTCACGCTTATCGATTACCTTTATCTTCTGTTCCACGAAACTTTTTCATTCTGGTAACACATCACTTCTTAAGGGAACAGCATAATAAAGACTGCTGTTGGATTTTGAAAAAGGGAAAAACATCGCAGAAACTGTTGAACAACGCAATCGCACCAAATTTGGTCCAGATTCACACCAAACTTGGAAAATTTTCGGAGGTTCCACATGATATGGAGTTTAGAAGAGCTCTAAATTTTCCCTCATTACTTTTCAATGGAAACAAAGGCGGACAGGAAAACATCCACTTTCATCCAACGGTACTCTGTCGTCGAATCTTCTTGAGAACTTTATGCCTCAACAGACTTTTGTTTCAAGCTTGTGAAAGAATCCCAAGATCATTCTTGATTGGGAAGGTGAAAGGCGGTCATTCATGGCAGGCAATCGTTGCGAAAACTGGGCTGATCTTGTCATGAAGGTGCAAGCCAGCGCCGACTGAGTAAGGTTCGCCTCTGCCGATATGTTTTTGGCATTTGTTTGATTTCTGCTTGCTCTACGTTTAACGCTTTCTTTAATGGCTTGTTTTCATTAGTGAACACTACTCAAAAGAAAGAATGTTGAAAAATAAAGGCAGTAAAAACTCATGGCATAGCAAGGAGAGAAGGGACCGGGCTGCTATAAGAGTCGGACTCTGCACCATCATGCAAAATCGCTACTCAGTTTTCGTCGACGATTCTTGCCTAGTAACGAACGTATTCACATTTTCGATCAGCACGATCTTGATTCGCTTTACATGCATGGAAACGAAAGCCCGTGTAGGCATGAGTTCTCAAGAGAATTCGACGAAGATCACGTTGCATGTAACGGATGTTTTTTCTGTATTAACGCGGCTTATGTTTGCCATCGAAAGTTATCTTTTGTGATCTCAGATAGAAAAATTGATGTTCATAAGGCAATACGTCTTTATATACGATATATTGTGAGTAGAAGACTTTTTTTCGAAACAGTCTATCTCCTGCTGAGATTTTAGGGAATTCTGTGGTGTGGGACGTATAATTATGGGACGCAGTGTATATGCTTTTCTTTCACTGCAATTTCGTAGCTGTGAAGGCAATTGAAGCACGTAACTTAATGGTACTTCGCAAATACTTTGAAGTTTTTCCTATGTTCTATATAACAATGCTCTATTTCATTTTTTGGGACAAGAACCCACTGTTTCGTCTGCTTCATGCCCTTGTTGTGGTTTTCATCCTCATACATACGTTGGTCAGTGGGCGGGGTTGAAAAAATGAGCGTGGTCCCGTGTGACAGATTAATGACGGCTGACCTCAGAAATGATTATGGTGGGTTTCTCCTGTTGTAAATACCCTCAAATCACGTGTCATAGCTAATCCTCTTTTAGGCCGATGTCAGACTTTGCGATTCGCGCGATTCGCTAGCGTCTGCGGTTGCGTCACAGCCAGTGAATCACTCAATTGGCTAGTACCGCAACGCGACTTTGCGAATCGCGCGATTCGCTAGCGACCGCGGACGCTAGCGACTCGCGCGATTCGCAAAGTCTGACATCGGCCTTATAAGGAGAACCCCAATATCGCCACACAAACTTTCGCTCGCTTGACTCGCAAATGGCATTTGCACTCAATTTAATGCACCTTACATTTCGGTATGTTTTTAGAATGAGCGTTTAAACTGGCATTCCTTAGATTGAGTCAGATGACATGCCTTTCGTTGTACTTACCATTCATAAAATGTATAATGAAGTTTTGGAGGTTGAAACTCTCTAAGGCCATTGTCTAACAAGTAGGTTCTCCAAACGAACGCCATTACTTTTTCTGTTTACTGTTTGTTAATTGTGCCTCGTTTATAGTTTTCTGTCACATCCATTCGATGCTTAGGATCGTCACTGGATCGATTCCGCACTTCTTTATTATTACATTTCCGAATTTATTCCTGGATTCTAGCTAAGTACACAATTTCGATCAAGGCGAGCGTCAGAAAGTCCTCGATAAAGGGATATATTTGGTCTCTCAAAAGTGGACTTATTGTTTGGGAATGCACTCACAAAATAGAGGTGTGGACAAATTAATATCCCCCTCTTCAAAACTATTGCTGAGGGCCGAAGAAGAAATTCGGAACCGACAAGATGGCAAGGAGGACAGGAAAGATGGTATTGTGCTAGAAGGGGACAGAAAAGAGTAGAATTTGAGAAATTTAATTTAATCTTGGTTGACTAGGAGATTTCAAAATTTTGCTCATCGCTATGGTTGACCTGTTTCTGAATATGTCCGTCCATACGTGGGAAGTTGGATGTTTGTGGTTGCCGTACGACTCAGGATTAGATCCATGAAAAAGCGCGATGCAAGCGGCGCCCTTTGTCACTATACCACTTCCACCCTGCGCGGGAATAAACTTCTTCGAGATAAAAAAAAGGATGACAAGCATTTCGAAGCCAAAAAAAACTTAATGGCAAGTCTTCCAAGGTGACCACTCTGACGCAATACCCACTTCCAACCGACCAAATACCATCCCCATACCCAAAGGGTACCACTACATCTACCTAGTTTACCCTGTTCGTTTATTTTTGTGGTGTTATCGTACCGTTGACCAAGTGCCATATGTCAGTAACATTCAGTCATTGAACGCGAGCGAGGGATGTTTCAGGCTGAATCGTCGTTGGTGGCCGAGAGAACACATTGATTCGACGACGGCGGGGGTCGCGTTGGCGCCGGGTTCCTATTTATTGTGCTGATCCAGAATGGTGCGCCCTCCTTTTACTTCAATTGCACAGCATACGATCCACTTCCAAGATGCTACGTTACAGGAGTGCGCATTCACTATCACCGAGAAGAAAAGCGATATAGCAACTGGTAAGAAAATTTCTCTAATTTCATTTGGAATATTGCTTTACTACCTTCAGTTGTGTATTTTTCCACCTTCAAAAAATGATAAAAAGTAAAGGAACAGTTTTAGCTCACAGTACATTTCATACTAGCATGAAGGGAAGACATAGCGTTAGTCATTAATAAATCATTTTGTTATGCGCCAGCTTTAGCGCCCATTCAGCATTGCGCCGAGATGGGTCAACACTGGGATATGTAAACATGATTTCCGGGATCCAGCCTGTGCACCATTGAAAACGAAAGCGCCAAGTATCTCGCGAAAGACGATAAGTGAGAGTTCCGAGGGAACTCGCGCTCAGCTTGTAGCTGAACCTTCACGAGCACGCAAACGTATTTATCACCAAAACCGGCTAATCGTACCGTTCAGTACTTACTACCCTCATGATCAGTTGAATATGCGAGGCACGGGTCTGATCAGTTCGTAGAATGATAAAGGCACCGTCATTAGTACTCTGGCCCTTCTTGTATTTGCGTAGTTCTGCTTTGTCATGAGGTACCCAGCTTGCCGTGGCACCCATTGGTCACGAAGACTCGGTTATTCCATCCTTCTTCTGTAGTACTGTGGTACTGCGTCACAAGGTCGCTATAAGGTCGAGAGCTTTCCCGAGTAATGACCAGAAAATGTGGTTATTTCGCTCTGAAATAAAAGTTTAGCTGCACCGTGGCCGCCAGAGGAAGAGAAGAACTGACAAATGCTCCGAGTCGACTGAAAGAGTTCCTTCGTAATGAGGTGGAAAGGCAACTACGAAGACACACTGGGAGTCGAGTAGAGAGAGACGAGAGGGTATGATGGACCTGCGAGACGCAGACACGCCTGGTCGCTATATTACAGATAACAGCTGCAGCCGCTCATGTCCAAGTGACAAGGCCCTAGCGCCCTTATTACGCACTTTCTAGTTTCGGGCACTACACAATTTCTGCGGTTGTGGGCTGGTCTGCACCACTAACGGAAGGGATTGGCCCTCCTGGCTCCCTTCAGTTCACCATAACTCAATCCGACTCAAACACTATTGAGTCAGAGGAACGACGTCGAGGTTACGGGTCATTCCCTTTCCATCCAGAGGCAGGTAATGATTGCCATGAAAATCGAAGGGAGAAAGAAAGACACATTCTGTTTGCTCTTTATTTTCTTTCCTGCAGCGTGTTTTGTTTTTGTATTCTTCAAGGTATCCATGGCAAGTTTATCTAAATATTTTATTTATTTTCTTATTATTACGCTCAGTAAAGAATACTGGGCGCACCAAAATCAGTATGATATAATGCTCCCTTCCTCCTTTGTGAACCATCAGTTATTCCAGACAACTGCTTCAGTAGCACAAGTTGCGCCAGGTAAAGCATGCATGGAAATTACAAAATCTGCGGCGAGATAGGGTCTTATTAGCGGCTCGAGCGAGAATCTTAGTTTTGGGAAGTTAGATTCGTACCTTGAACTTTTTTGGAGGTTCTACGTTGGAGGTTCTACGTTGGATTTCAGGGCAGTGGGAAGAATGAGGTGTGAGAAAGTAGCCGAAATTCGCTATTTGCTCACCTTATCAACTCGTTCTTCAGGCGTTCGACGATTATTCTGGGTTTGAAAACGAACTCGAAAGTGTGTCAAATAGTACCAGATTCAGCGAGACTTTTGACGACATCAACATCATCAGTCAGAGGGGAACTCATGCGTATTTGGGAAATTTTCCGCTACGCTTTCCTTGACATTGCTGTACCTTACAGAGATGGGCTCTGGTTTCAGGCCTTAATTTCGCAACGGGTTTAACAGAATATTAAAGAGAAATATTTGAAACATATGAGAATATAATTGATTTTGGTGCTTCCTCTGTCCCAACCAGGTTTGTAGGATCCATCTATAATTAAAATCGATGCCAATTTTGTGAGAGGGAACTTGGAGACTAGCAAAGAATGAACTTTTCCGAGCTTCTCAGGCTAAATGTGATCGAATACAGTGATTTCATTTTCATTTCTTTTCATTTTCTGATATTTTTCTTGCAAACATGTGCACAGGTCCTACAGATCAATTTATAAACCTGTTTTCATTTTGTTTTATCATTATGTCTTCAGCTGTGGGTAATGAATTCTTCCGATTTAATTTGCTTTCACAATTTCCATTCAATTTGTTTTTTTTTCAGTATAACTGCTTTCTTTAAACCCAGTAGCGCTCTTCTCACTTTCATTTCACTTGTTTATTAGGCCTTTATAAGAGCTTTCATTTGCAGTGTTGCCTCAGCGGAATTTCGCCACCTGTTCTCTTACCATCAACCTCTCCCGTTTGACCTTGGATGACGGTATGTTGTAATAATTTCAATTTGTATTCTAATCTTTTACAGAAATCTCTGCGATATTGTTTTCGTGCAAAAACTTCGAGTCAAAATCATTCTCGCTTGCCAAACTTTAGTCTAAATTTCGGAGCGAAAGGCAATGACAAGGTAAACATAGGGTATTCTGTCGTACACTCACGCGACACTCTGACTAGTTGAAGAAGTTATTGGTAAGTGACCGTGGGTTGAGGGACAAGTCTATTGTTGTTGCTCTAGATTAAAAGGTGTTCAGTGGATGAGTTACGAGTAAGTTTGTGAATTTATGAGGATTGAATACAACCTCACACCGAATTGCTCAGGGGGCCAATTCTACAGCCAATTCTACAGCATTACTCAGGGTTTTCTTTGCTTACCATAGCACTTTGGCTTCAAATAATCCGTTCTGTGTCACGTACAGCACGCTTTGTCATACGGCGTCAAATTCTTTCTAAAGATTTACTATTCAAAACCTTACTTCTCGTGAAAAAGAAGCTGGAAGGGTAAAGCGAAAGGAAGAAAGTTTTGGGAACTCTTCGGAATTCTTCAACCAGCGCATTTCCCACAGGCTTTAAACCAGGACTGCTGCGAGTTGGGCTGTTTACAGTCCTTACCGCCGCAGTGCCACGAGTGCGGCGCCAATTTCGCCGCGCCGCCGCAGCGTGGCCCACTCGACTAGCGCTTCACCGCACACCGTTGGGACTGATGGCAAATTTAAGGATCAGAATAAATAATTGTAGGCGTCAGCAGTGAAACCTATTAGTAAATGTGCTCACACTCACATTTCATTGATTCTCAGCTGAATTCTTTATTGTAGAGGACCGGTCAGAGCACACGAAGGAACGATCGGACATCGCCGTTAGCGTGACTGACGAGAGCTCAAACTCTTCTTCATCATCTAGTCATAATGGAATTTCTATCGGAAAGATTTTGCAAACATATGTGCATTCCGAAGACAATCCCGTAGAGTCCAATGATGCTAAAGAAAATGTGGTAAGCTTTCAAATAGTTCTTCTGAAAATCAATCCCTAGTGTGTCTGAGTAGTCACATATTTTCCCTTTTAGACTATTCTTGCCGAAACGGGGACTCTCGAAGAGAAATCTGTTGAAGAACCTGCCCCCAAAAGACGAAGGAAACTTACGAATACGGAAGAGGAGCTTGCAGTATTCAGCACTAAGGATCCCATATCGCCTTGATCCTTCACTTGAAGCTTTTAGGTTTTTTCTATACTTCTGCTCAGGCATCTATCAAAGTTGTGCCAATGATATGCGTTCACCTTCTTGGACTAATCTAGCATAGGAAATGTAATGCTAACTTATTGCTTCAGCGAGGTTTTGTAATCTTCTCTCCAGATCAGTTATAGAGCTCCAACGCGTCTTCTGAGGCTCAGCCGGTACATTGTAGCGGCAACATTGCAACAAGCAATGTTAAAACCATTTGAAAGAAACTTATTCCAGAAATCTCTTGGTGTTTGCCGTTAGTTTTTTCTGCTTCACTGTTCTTTCAACGCCTTAGGGCGTGTCGCGCTATATGTTTACAGAAGGTGTCATTTGAAAGGTTGGGACCAGGATGAGCCGCGCGTCGAGGAAGTTTCGGCGAATACGGACTCTCTCTCCCTATTCCATCATCCCTAACTCACATCATTTGTGCTTGATGAGGCGATTGCGGATGTAAGCGTGATACTATGTGACACATTTTCAATTACGCCCCCCCCCCCACCCATATCTTCAGAAAGTCGTCGGCCGAGCGGTGAGGAAGGCTGCGAATTCAGAAGATACACCATCACTTTCTTAACTATGACCTCCTAAGGATCCCAAATTCGACCCTCTTCTTGAAATCTTGAATACGACTTCTTATTAAAACCTTCGACGTTAGCTGACCCTTCTCGCGAGCCTTCCTAAAAGCGGCCAAAATAGTCAAAGCATGTTCGGCACAGCTCTGTAGTTTCAGAGGAGTTGGGCCATTTCAGCCATTCATAGAGAAAACTATCTAGAAAACCATCTTCAGCATCTCCACTGAGGCATAGTGGAAGAGTAGCCTGACTTTGCAGCATGCATGAGCGCTTCTTGTGTACCCATCACGAGGCCTGTCGCGCGAGGTGTGGGCACAGACGCGGACTGGACAGCGTCTTGGGGGCGGACTGATGTATATTCTATCAAACTTGAGACAAATTGCTGCAGTAGGAGCTGCAACTCGTCCGCAGTCCTGTCTGCGTCTCTGCCTTCTCGCCGCGCGACGGGTATGTAGCTTGCCTGGTATCCACGTTTCTTTGTTAGTCATGTATTAGTGAATAAGGTTCGGCCTAGTTCCCGATATTAATGATCACATTTCAATCCGTTCGATCTTTTGAGATGTATCGATTAACTATTACTAATTGAGTTGAGCCATCAATAACAGGACTGCCTAAGATTGAGCAGTTGTTTAAATTGATTTACTTATTTTATTGTATCTGCTCCTACTTTTTCTCCTCACTTCTATAAAGCTCCTTGAGTTCCATTATAAGTTGGCCATAAATTTGATTATCCGATGTTTGTCCCACTACTCGATTTGCCCTTTTGGTTTACTGCTTTGTATTATATCATACCATCGGTTGTGCGTTACTATTTCCTTGCCTACCAAGTGGCTAGTTGTTCCTCGATGTATCGAATGATAATTTCTTAACATTTTAAAATACCAGTGTTTCGCCATCATTATTGAGATTATAATTTATCTATTTATTTTTTGGTATTGTACAATATTTATCTAAGTGTTTATTTATATTTGCTTGTCAACAATCTATGGTAGGGTTCATGATAGTTCCCGAGAAGCGTTACTGTTCTGTGATTTCAAGTTATAAAGCACTGTTTTTTGAGTGATGCACTTATAGCACCCCTCGCACATCCACTTAGTCTGTTTTGCCACCCGTCCGCTTCCTTTCCTTTTCACTGACACTCCAGGTCGGACTTCTACTTTCACTTCCGCTGGCGATCACCCCAACTAAATAGCAGCCGAATATGTCATTAAGTTCATGTGCACCGCAAAATTGATTTCAATTCATTACTTATGTCAAAATGGTCTCAGGGAGTTGTCAGGTCAGGGATCAAACCAGTACTGATTGAACTCGTGGTGAGTTCTGTTCTACGACAATGTTTCAATGTTATGGCAGGGGGGGAGTCACGCTGAGCCTGAGAGACAGCAAGGTTTATAGTTTTAGTGCCATATCGTGCGATGTCGCTAACTCATTTCAAACCTGTCTTAATGTATGAACGGACTGAAATTGGTCTTTCGAAGTCAAAGAAGGGATTTTTGCTCGTTTTCCCCTGTTGTCGATGAATTTTGAACTACCAACGAAAACAGCCACAGGCTGTATCATAGCATCATTTTTTCTATACTTCACAAATATAGTGAGTTTCTACACGAGAGAATAATTAGAAGTTTTCTCTGTGGCGTATTAGAAGATGTACTAAAATCCTGGAAAAGCGCTTCAAAAATAGGGAAGGGGAGCTTTTTTTTGATCGTCTTTCTTTACGCGGTAACTGAATAACGGAAAGCTTTACACAAAGTATCTTGAAATTGATGCAAAGTTTTTATTAGTATATATCAAGACAGCAATAGTGATGCTCGTCAAACCCATCACGACGCATTTGATGCTTCATAGAGAGGAAGATCTTCGGATTAAAAAAAATCAAACGATAGAATATGTAAACTGTTTGGAATTTCTTTGTTTGTTCATATATCGGAACAGCTGTGATGAGAAGGAGGAAGAGGATGAGGATGACTGGTTGGATGGGTGAGAGGAGGAGAGAAGAATGCGAAATGTATGACACTGGAAGCCAAGAAGAGCCAGAAGGTACGACCTCGAATACGAAATGTGATTCCATGAGTGGACTTGAAACTAGAATATGCGGATGACGACGGCAACTGCAGAAGCCGTATTTCAACCGATGAGGTAGAAATCTAAACATTATCTACGCGCACCCCTCGGTGGCATGGGACCATCGATCTGACCAAGGGTACGCCTTGTCGTCGAGGAAACTCGGCCAATAGACTCTTCCCACGCCTTCCACCTCCAGCTCCTCTACCCCAACTTCCAACTCATTACTCGATCCCCAACAACCCTTCGCCCGGTAGGAATTATTGCATATCGTATTGTTACTGTGAAAACAGTAAAAGCCCTGAAATTTCTCAAAAATTTTCGCTTTGAAGTGATTTGAAGACCACTCCCCGTATAACTCGCTCCCTCCAACAGGGATTCCTCGACTGATGGCGAACCCTGGTCAAAAATATACCGAGATATACGATGAGAATAGAAAACTCTAAACATTTAGGGCCTGAACGATCATCATTGTCACTATCATCATCGTTATCATGACACGTAGTATACAACAGAACGGGATCACAATGTTCAATGTTATACCAATAATTAAAGCTCTATGAGTTGGGAGAGATTCCATTTCAAGTACAATGTATGAACATACAAAAAAATAATACAACATAAATTGGCAAGTACCGTATTGAGGCATAAGAATAATATGAATTTGAATGTATGCGTGGTAGAACCGGCAAGCGCAATGATGAACGTAAATAAGGAGATGAGGAAAGCATTCATGTTGGCATCGAACGACACATTCAGCACCCAAGAGGCGTCACACACTTTACATTATCGGCAGTTGTCGAAAGAACATCTTATATAGTGTCGTTTACCGCCTAAGTGACAATAGATGAGCTGTGCCAGGAATAGTTTCGTTCCATGTGGGTAGATGGAACAGTTGTGTGCCATTAGGTCACCGCAACGCGCAGATTTAGGTGTGTCGCGCGCGCAGATGTTTTTTTTTGCGAGCGGCACACTTTTTCGCTTCTCCGCCCTCTTCCAGCGCATGCTCTCTCGCCATTCTTGCGCCGCCAGCGGTTTGCGGTGAGCGGTCCGAACCAATTGCTCACAAAGAAAGGTGACAAATGTGAGCGTTTTCGCGCCATGACCTAACAATACACAGCCATGGAACTCTGTTGTGATGGTGCTCTGGCATTAGCTCTATGGCACGTATTTGGGTGGGTTTTAGTGACTTAGACGGCGAATAACAGATCATAGAGAACATGCCACAGTACATGTACCTATAAGGGCAGGATTATATCAGATACTATGGTAGTGCCTTATATCTAACAGGCAACAAACACATAGATATCTTGAGATCAGACCAATGAAATCAGGAAATATGGAAAGCTCAATGGATTAATGATGATTTATAAGACTAGTCAAGTGTGCCTTGTCCATGTTCGGCGTCCCAGAACTGAGTTGGTGTCCGATCGATATTATTAAAATCTTGCCATAATGCCAATATCAGCTCACTACTCATCAGTTCACCGGCATGTGTCGAGATCATGCGTAACATGAAGACCCCTGAAAATTGGACCATCAATGGGATTAGGTGAACCGGTGAAACTCCAGTTCGGGGGGGGGCACTCCATTGCTATCTTATCCGTAGTACTAGAAAACAGTTCTTTGGGCTATCGAACACTACGGATAAGATAATAAGTGAACGACTCATTTCGAGCTTACTTTTGATAAGGACCGGTGGATGTCCTACATTCCACACTACCTGCCCACATCCCATCCACTTTCCTGCACAAGTGATCCACCCTGGAGCTCCTGCACCCTTAGCCCTTTGCGGGGGTGTCCTTTCTCCTGGTCCAAGACCGTTCCCTTGGGTCATGGCGCGGAAATGTGAAAACGTTTCAGGGTTTCTCACCCATCACACCAATATTTATCAGAAGTCTACTTTAAATTAGTCGATTACGTGTCGTGAGCCCTCTAATCCTTATCTTGAGTATTGGAGAAAAAATGGAGTGCCCCCCACCCCAAACTGGAGTTTCACCAGGTGAACCTTTACAAGCTATTCGAGGCGATACCTTCTTGCCTTGTACTTCCCCTTTATTTTAAAATTATCTAGAACCATAAGTTGATAAATAGTTAGGCAAAGGCGTCTGGGTGAGGAAGTAAAGTAGTATAGTTAGATCAGAAATTCGTCAAAATTATTTTTTAGGGGAAGGAATAGAGAATAAGTTCAAATTCCTTTCCGTTCTCAGATTAAAGCCAAATTTGAAGGATTATCCTCGCTCTGTAAGACCCACGTCCAGCTGTGTATGGGCACAGATGGCTCAGTGGCAAACGTCGCCATTCCACACACATAGGATGGGTGTTCAATGCCACCCGTCCTTTCATGACTTGAGATGGGTTATAATTACTATCCAACTTGTGTGGCCGATAACATTGTGTATATCGGCCGGCCCATAAAAGTCTATGATTTAAAAATCACAATCAACTGCCGTTACAATTCAAATCACAGTAGGGCACATGGCGCATCCCAAAGTGGAATTGGTCAGCGTCAGGTAGTTCTTTTGATTTATACTATTTTTATTTGTTCTTGGGCTCTCATGCCTAAGACTATCATTTTTGGAACGTCATGTCAGAAACATTCCCATTTCCCTTGCAAGCCTTCATTTCTTCTGAACGTCTACTTTGGTGATGTTTTCCTCGAGGAATTCTAGTGGATTACGGATTTTGGCCATTCATGTGAAATTTTCAAAGCGTGAACGCTTCGAGTCCATCACTATTCGAGACCGTGTGAAAAATTGTCGTCATTACTAATGACTAAATCTTTTTCATTCAGACGAATGGAGAGCTCGAACTATGCAATCCAGAAGTCTTTATAGGGGACATTGGCACTCATTAATTTTGACGAATTCATCTGATCGGCGAAGTATCAGCAAGAACTAGTCAGGAAATAAGTCCTCAACTTTTTGGGTAATTTTGGTATAATTTTTTCAACATCATGAGAAATCACTGGAAAAGCTTGCTTACCATCTTTTCGCAAGAAATTGTTCGTGAATTTCCTCAGCGTGACATCGTCAGCTATGGGCTTTGCGGGATGATCGGCAAGTACGCGGAGATACTTCCGAACAAAAGACATGCCCTAAGGATATAGAAACATCAGCTTTTCTCATTTGAAAATGACGAACACTCTTTCTAAGCCCTCTATTGATTCCACCGTGCAAAATTAGAAAAAGGACCTGAAAAAAAAACTAAAAAGTAGAGAGATTGAAAAGATTTACCTGACTTGGAATGAACATAATCAATATCCAATAACAGGTATTAAATACAGTGATAACACCAACAGTCAAAAACCAAAACCTGAAAGTGGAGGCTGTTAATGAACTAGTAAATCCATCGAACCCATGTTGAGAGCTGATTAGTTATAGGTTTACTACTTGTAGTTCTATAGCGCTAGCCTGGTGCTATGGCAAGATACGGGGGCATTATAGTGGCAATGCTTTCAAAATCACGTAAAAATCTCTTTTTTTTGTTAGAAACCGAATTAAGCCTTAATGGAGTGATTAAGAGGGAGAGACTCCAGGGAGGGTGAGCACTTTCACTTCAGAGTACATGACCATTTTCATTTTCTCCAAAATTCGTGCCTCTTTATAGCCTTAGTCCTAGAATATGCTCCCGTATCTTGCGATAGCGCCCACTACTTGTAGTTCTTAAACCGAAAGAGCAAACGTTTTCATTGAATGCAAAGAACTTTCAGGTGAAATTTAAAAAAAATACTGTGTGGAGAGGAATGTTAATAAATTATTTAGAAACTGGTTTCGACAAGGTAACTCGAACAAAACAAAAAACAAATGGGGAGGTTATAGCTGTTAAAAGAACCTGGAATGCCGCGCAAATGCAGTCCAGTGAAAAGCTTGATTCATCACCCAATTTTATTATTTATTTTTCTAAAGCAATCATTTTTTTCTCGACTCGGAATAAATTGTTTTGCGATGCTCCAAGAGAGCCTTGGAGGGTATCTGGGGCCGAAGGTCAGATTTCGTCTCACAAATGTGCAGTTGCCGGCGCGTGACATCAATGAAATAAAGTAATAAAAGGTGCACTTCGCCTGCGGAACTGTCTCAATAAATCAGTTAATTTTAATTACATTTTTACTACCCCGCCAGGTTGAGTACTTCTATAGATATCTATGAATATCTTTCTATAGATTATTTAAGAACGCAGTTATCGCATCAGAAAGACGCTTCAAACTAGAAAGTTTTCAGGCATTCTGAGGACCCATTCTACTCAAAGTATTTTTTGAGTTATAAGGTGGAGGTCTATCGTGGCAGAAGTACGTAGTGGTGTGTCGGTTAGTGTCACATGGACCTGGGGGGTCAGATTAGGGTCCATCCCAAGTCAACTAACAAGTCTTTGGAAGGCTTTCATCCCCACTTAGTCGTTTAGTAGTATGAGCTTCGTCTGGGAAGTTAGGAAAGCATTGCCTTGCACATCGGCTGGCTCTGTAGATCATTGTTAAGGCCTTATGCATTCAAACTGCAATTATGGTCCTGTGTGGAAGAACAGTGCGTGGCGCAACCCAAAAAGAGACTGATCAGTGCCAGAAGCATCAAGTCTGAGTGGTCTGAACTATTAGTATCGAAATAAAAAAATTTCTTCGCGAATTTCTCGTGGCCTCAACTATGTGTAGTGAAGCAGGACGAATCTCGAAAAGCGATTGATCTATGCCAAAGGCCTTAAGAAAAGTTTTATGTGTGGTGCACTCCAAAAAGGAATCGATAATTGCCATCACTTCTGATTTTTTGTCTCTTTTTGTCACCTGATTCATATTTTCTGGATTTTTCATTCTTCACTGAGATTCGATCCAGGGGTACAAAATTTTATGGTGTTTTCTGCAACAATTCACTGTGTTCGAACTGCCAGCGCCTTTATGACCCTTATTATGAGGTTGTATTGTGGAGGTTTCGGATCTTCCGAACTCACATCCCTCGGCTGAACTTGAGGCTAGATATACAACTTCAGCAGACCTACGTCTAGTGCTCAGACTCACATTTCAACGATAATGACTTGCACAACTGCCGTCGAGAGCGGTGGGCGGAAGCACTCACTACATCTTCGGAGAAACCCCAAGCTGAACATAAACTGAACGAGCACTAAATCGACGTTCCGTTGTTTGAAGATCGTTGATTTACTGACTGGCCGCCAACAACTACCTCATGAGTGGATTTATTGGTGAATTTCGGCAAGGGCAACGAAATATCTCTCAAGAGCATGAGTGCTTCAGTAGGGACACAACCCTCGGAGAAAAAGATGGAGATGGCCTGAATCCAAGAATAAGCACAGTTTCCCATTCGGGATCAAATTTTCACATCTTACTCCTTGTCCACTCAGAAATACTCGGTTTTTTTTATTTTAAAATGCTATTTGAATTGTGGTGATTCCTGCCGGGCTCTACAACGGGTTGCATATGAAGCGCAGGAGTCAGTGGTACCTGTTATCTGCTTGTCTGAGGTTTGGTAACGAGATATCAACAAAATCACTATGAAAAGAAGAGTCTCTGAGCCCGAAGTCTGGGTCGTGACCATTCAGTAGGGTAAAAGGTTGTGGGAACCATTTGAAGTGTGCGAAAAAATGGGTTGTCCGGGTTCACACTATCTCATCAAGAGGGCGCAAAAATAAAAAAGGCTGACACTCCACTGGCCTCTCTTAAATATGTTGTTACCCTGAAATGTTAGAATGAAGCATTAGATATATCGGTTATCTAAGAGCACATGAAAAAGTCTAGGGCAAGATTTGGTTTAATATTGTGACCATAGTAATGGACTTTAATGGCGTGAAAAATCCTGCCTATTCTGTACTCACCATAAAAATAAGAATATCTTCTCATTGAACATGTTAATCATAAGCACACATTGAACAGTATGCCGATGAATGTTGCCGAGTACGCGAACCTGAAACATTTTTTGTCGATTGAAAAAATGATCAAAGATTTTCAGAATGAAATTCTTTGATCAACAACTTGGGCACTATTGCACTATTACAACCACAGTAGGGGTGAGAAGGGTAAAAAAATAATTTTCGCTGAAACTTCGGCTATGAGGGTTAATAAGGGTCCTCATCACGGACATGATATTCATTTTTGACGCTGGCGCCAATTTAGTGCCATTTGGCGCCAGATCGCGCCACGAATTAATCTCAGTAAATTCGCTGTAAACTTCTGTAGGGGTTATTTGGGATCCTGATTACGAAAATGGCACTCGTTTTTGTTGTTGGCGCTATTCGGCGCCTATTTCCTGCTCGTCTGCGCCCTCGCGCTAATTGGATCGCAACCAGGACTAAACTTTGAATAGTAGAGGGCTCCAAAGTGAGTAGGCCATTCACTTGTGGTTTAACACACTCCAACTGCTGCCACACGGTGCGTGGTTCAACCACTCCGGAGTTTTACTCCCTCCCCTAAGCTTAGGCTTAGGCGCTATGGGTGAGAAAGCTCAGAAAAGCAGAAAGTATGCGTTAAACGGCACGAATGTCGAAAGCGAGTGTCATGTTCGCGATCAGGGCCCCAAATAACCCCTATACAGAAGTTCACAGCGAATACGGTGATAATCAGTTGTGGCGCCAATTGACGCCAGTGCCAAAAAAATGGATGCCATATTCGTGATCAGGACCCTCGGTAACCCCCATAGCAGAAGTTTCAGCGAAAATTATTTTTTGACCCATCTCGGCCCCTTCTGGAGTTGTAATAGTGCAATAGTGCCACAACTTGTATCGAGAGCGGTGGAACAAGAAGGGAAGTAGATTATCTGAGTTTCTCATGGCTCTTGAAGGGGCGGAGTTTCACTTGTGTAGGGTGAAGAGAAGAAAAAGCTCATCAAGGTAACATCTTACATCTTCTTATTCGTGGTGTTATACTAAGCCATAGAGTATCGAGAAGCCTACGGAGGATCGATAAGTAAAGAATGAACGTGCCTCGAAATCGCATAGTGTTACTCGAGGAAACATTCCGGTTTGTTCCCATTCAATCTCGTGCATAAGATCTTTCAACAATGAAAAGCCATACGCTAAATCATTGGAGCCGAGCAGATGATTTAACAGAAAAAACTGTAGCAATACATTGGCCGAGTAAAGGATCTGAAACGAATGAGCAATTTACTATAGTGAATTTTATCAATGAACGGTTCCAAGTCGAACATAAAAAAGGCACCGAAATTTTGGTGTGAGGTACCAAAGTAAAACCCTCACGAAAGGATTAATTGAGATTTTTCCCAGCCAGTAATGCACCAAAAGCACCATCAGCGTTTCAGACAGGGTCAACCGTCCGTTGGACAAAGTCCAACGCATGGCTCTCTAGCGTGTGAGAGTAATGCCGAGAGTGAACGTACGCACGGAGACACAGACGGCTCGCGCAAGGCGAGTGCGAATGCCGGCGCGTCAACGTCGGTCCAATGTCGGTCCAACGTAACGGTTGACCCCGAAATCAGGTCGCATGAAGCTGCCACCTCACCAAGATGGACCTTTAAGTCCGACCGGAGGGGGACACAGGGCAAGACAAACCAAGACCCGCACAACAATACCCACTACGCAAAAATCAGGACCCAGCATCTTGCAGACAGGATTCAATATGCTTTTTTTGCATCTGCCCTTAGCAGTCTCACTATCTGCATGCACAGAAAACAGCATACAAAGCGAGGGATGACTTTTTTCTCTCTCTCCTTTATTTCATATGTATAAATCCAGACACCCCACCACATGATTTGCGCTGTGGCAGGACCGAGCGTGTGACCACGATAGACCTAAGTTTGAGCTGTACGAGCCCCCAGACAGACTATTCGCATGCTTACCGCCCAACTTGTACTCTTCGCTACTCTTGTACTCGATTTCAGCTTTCAGCGCTATCCCGCACTTCATCTCGGAGTCAGGCCCTTTTAGTTCTTGCAGCTGGCGCTTCTGGTTCTGTGTTTTGAGCATAAAGCAGACTATAGAATTTATTTGACCTTTAGCAAAACAGTCTAGCCTCGAGAGTGTCCTAGGGGGAGCTATTTTTCATTCTGCTACCCATTTTACCGTGGACTTCATGATGCAACCTCAGCTATGTTGAGCATCAACTTCCTCACGAGTTATACTGGGTACTCCACCTTCTCGTACTTTTGAACAGCTTCAGCTTCTTTTCTTTATGATCGAGCTCAAGAACCAATGTGAATTGGCTTCCGATATGACGATAAGAGCTACGAATTTGCTAGCAAAAGAACTCTGTTGTAAGTTACATTCATATCTCAGTTTGCTAGGTAGAAGATTTATTTTGAGCTGAGTTTTGATCATCCAGTCGTTTTCAGAGGCTTAAAAATGGCACAGAGGTCAAAGTGCACACTACCTTATGATTTCCGTTTTGAGATCTAGCCAAGTTGAAAAAAAAACAGATTTATGGACAGCTCAATATTCTAAAAACTGGTAACTTACTTTAATACCAATATAAAGCATAGTGACATAACAACCACAATGCCTCCCACAGTTGGCTCCTATTTGCATGTGTGAGAAACATGTCCGTGAATGAGCGGACCGATCGACATTTGTCAACTGAAATTTTTCAAGATAGGGCTATTAAAGGAATCTTGCGCGGAAAATTCTTGCACTCTTTCCTAACATGAATATGTCAGTTGTGATCACTGGAAATAGCACACAAAGTTTCACGCATGAAGATCCGGTTTCTGCAGAGAAACAAACGTACAAAAACTTACGTTATGGACCATCGAAGGAGGCAGAGCTAGGCGAGGCATGGAAAGAAGACGGCTACGTACCAGGCCACGCAATGAGAGAATCGGGTTAAAGCGCGCGATTTCGGAGAGTGGAGACAAATCGATCGATGGAATAGGATGGAGTAGAAGTGTAAGATGTGAATGCAACGAAGCAGAAGGCCAGAAAGAGCTTCTAGTGAATGAATGCACTCCAAGAACCAAGTTTGAGCATCCCCGTCACCAGCAATCGTGAAAGATGTCCGTGGGCAATTCGAACGCGTACAGCCTTTTCGAGTTTTCGAATTTCTAATCAAAACGAAAGCAATACTTCAGTTCTTTTCACTATTATCGTGGATAATGAGTCTCAAGCCAGTGATTTATGGCTGAAATAGAATCATGATTTTTCCGCGCAAGATTCCTTTAATTGCTTCAAAAATACCTTTAATTATTGCAGGCACTACTGCAGTAATGAATGATGTGACTGTTACCTGCACTTCATCTTGCATATGACGTGCCATTGTGTAGACCGTTCTCGACTTCACTTCGGAGTCCATCAAACGCGCGTCACATGCCATTTGAACGAGGCCTTGCAGGTTTATACCTAAACCTACAAATTCGAATCAAATTCGTCAAACGGCAAGCAATTTTGTCACTATGGGAACTGTTCCGATTTCCAGACATAGTGGAATGGTCGCGAAGAGCCCCCTTCACTCAATCTGTTTGGTGAAGTTTTTAAGAGACCTCAATATCTTAAGTGAAGATAAATAAAGCGGAACCCGCTGAGTGTTGATGGTTTCTCAATATTGCGCCATGCATTCCCAAAACTTGTTTGAAAAATTTCCCGACACAGGGATCCCTTTTAAAAACCTATCAGCCTATGTTTTATTACTCATGCTACCCATTAACCGAAAACCGTATTCTTCTCCCTTCTAGAGGAACCGATCTGGAAACAGTGCAAGGCTACACCTCACCTTTAGCCACCCAGAGCTCTGAATTACTTGCTGAGCTGGGATTACAACGTCACAAAAGTGAGCATTTAGACGATCCAAGAAACGCTGCAGCGGAATTACCACAGTAAATACATAAAAATTGGTGCCACCCATTTTTAAAGAGGGGCAATTTAAGTTATCCTACTGTATCTGTTAGGCCTAACAGGCTTGAATCTTTTGATCGTGGCAAATGACGGACCAACCTAAGTACATTTAGGACTACATGAACAATGGATCGAGTATACACGGGTACTAATATTTGGTATTCGTGTGTTTGGGTGTTGCTACACTTGTGTTTACAGGACCTAGCCGTTCCATCTTGGCGTCTTCGTAAGTCTACCATTATTAGTAGGCTATGAGCGGTCTCTACCAGTATATTTAGTAGTAATATAGTAGTAATTTACCAGTAGCACTATATGTAGTAGCTTTTATCCCCAAGACTGTATTTTATATACTCCCTTTCAAAAAAAAAACGAGAAGAGCATCGGGTGCAGACCATACACCACAAGTGACGACGGCCTCCACAAAATGTAAATGCTTTCTGCCAATGAAATGATTAGCCGTTGCAGCTGTATTCACACAGTTGTCACTAACTACAACTATTATTTACCAAAAATTATATCAGCACCACTACTAACCAGATTTACTTGAGGCTGTCGTCACTTGTGAAGTATGATCTGCATCCGCAGCTCTTCTCGTTTTTTGCGTCCAAGGGCAGCGGTCAACCAAAAGGCTTGGTGATTCATCGTTTTGTAGTGTTCTCTAGGCACTCTCACATATGCACACTATTACAGCGTCTCTGTTTCTCCTTCCTCCAAAAGGCTTAGCCCTAGAAAAGCAGAAAGTATGTGCTCTCCTGTCTGGGCTCTCACGCGCTGGTTGACCACTGCCCCGTTTTTTGAAAGAGAGGGTGAGTCAAAAGAGTAGATTTCGTAAAACATACCGCTGTGCCAATACAACAGCCCTCGCCAAAGTATACATGGCACATAAAAAAGTAGGGCCTCGATGGCCAGTATGAAAGGCACCCATTGATAATAGCCAATTTGTCGATTGCGTCGCGAATAAATTTCGCGCGGAATGTCCTCCTTAAAAGCATATTCTGTAAGGACTAGATAGACTTGACGACGTAAACGACGAGGCGATAATGGGTGTGGGATCTCATCACGAAAATGGAAAGAGTCCACAGCAATAGCAGCCTCTCAAAAACCCATTACAAACCGACCTGCATTGGCACCCAATAGGTGTTTTGCACCCAACAATAATTCTCCGTATATTGCTCCATAGCATCGGTGAACGTGGCCGGGACCCAGCATTGAATGGGGAAACCTGAAAAAAAGGTGAAATTTCGGAACGAAATCCCCTCAGATTACGTCATAGGCGGTGGAGGACAACTGAACCAGCCTGCATTAGCTCTGAGCATCATATTTACAACCTGCTATTCATAAATTACGCTCACGAAGCTGACACATTGGGCCACAGCTGCGCTCTCAGCTGTTGAGCACGTCGCTGGTGCCTCTTATGGACACGCTCCACTCGACGCTTCTTTTCATCCCACTAACTAGTATATATTCTATTATTATATTATAGGAACTTTACTCTATGTTAACCAGCAAGCCTATGAAGTGTGGATTAAAGTTCGATTTGTTGTAAGCAAGTGCTCCAAGAAAACTAGTTAATAATAGGCAAGTTCTACGATGACGCAGGTGAAAAAAAGATTGGCAGAAAAAGAACTTACCGACATACTGCTTCGCCGACACCAGGAGCGCAAAGGACGCCACTGAAACGGGAATGTTTATAAATCGCGCATTAACGAGATTAATCCAGTAATCCGATTTTACAGGCTATTGAAAAACGTGGACGATCAGAAAAACGCTATATAGACGGAATAAAGTTCCCGACAAAGTTCATAACCAGTACTGAATGGAAAGTACTGACATATCGTTGTAGTGTAGTAATAGTTGAGCTTGTCGACAAAATCGTCGTCTAAACGTGGATATAGGGCTCGGAATGCGGATGCAAGATAGTAGAGAATCATCGCAGGACCAAACTCCTTCTTATGACCGTGGCCTGAAATTTGGCAACTAAACATGAAAGTAGGGAACAATAGGTTCTTATTCAACTACTATACGATCACTGTGAGCACATTACACTCTAACGAGCGTCTACCCTTGAAAATGCTGCTGGTCACCAGTATTGCTGTTCTAGGCAATCCTTAGGAGTTGACTGAAGAGCCTTTTGGCGGAGAAATCAAGTCCGAGGTTAGAAAGGGGTGCTATGGGGTAACCGAAGGTTCATGCTCACAAACATGGCCACGTGGCGACGAAGAATCTTCCAAAACGACTCCTCTTCTACATCACCCTTCATTTCTTCCTTCCCTATCCTTCTTCCTGATCCACCACTACTTCTACTACTCAGAAAACTCCGTCGAAGAGGGCGTACAGTATACAAAAAATTGGAAAAGTAAAAATCACTCCTTTTACACCATATCATGAACCACCTCCAGCATTGCCCCTTTGGGGCTACCTTCCTGTCCCTTAGCAGTCGTCATATGCTCCCTCCAGTTTGAGGTCTGCACTTATTAGGCCTTCGAATAACTTCCCGAAAACGGATTTGAAACGTTCCTTGTACAAGTACACAAGTTCAGACATCGCACAGACACGATTCCGCGCTAAAGTCTGCTTTTTGGGCGGTCGATCTTGCGCCTTGGCAACAAAGATCTAGGCTCCGACGAAGGCGAAGAGGCCGAAACGTTAGCCTAATAAAAGTGCAGAAATCTTGGTCAGGCTACAGCAAAACTATTCGCATCAAAAGTTCAGACAAGGAAAAACTACTCGTAAAAGGTGGAGCAGAAGAACAACTTTTATTTTGCTCCTAGAGAACTGAGCACTTTTCCATCGATACCAACGATTCGCGAGTGCAGAGAATGAGGACTTGGGGACAACGCACTAATGGTAAGTGGATGGTGATGAAACCGTAATAATTTCTACAAAATCTTTGGTAATACCTGCGCCGTGGCCAGGAGCTCCAACGTGGTGCGAGTCTATGCGTAGTTGATGCGAGCCGTCGAGAAGTTTCTGTGCCTGAAAGTGAATTCGAATCAACATCAAAATTATGTTTAAGTGCCTTTGATGCGATGAAGCTCACCTTTCGCAAATATTTAACATTAGCTTGTTTTTTCTGGTGCATTGGTACAAAACTTGATTGACGTCAATAAATAATGAGGCGCAAATTTCATGATATGCCGAGCATGACCAACAAGTACGTGTGAGCGGGGTCAGAACCCTAACTGAAGTGCCAGAGACGTACTTTGTGATTGGTTTCGCGTTTGTACTCGCGACGAGACGAGCGTTATTAGGAGGAGGGAGAGAGGGTGGCGTTCCCTGATCAGCTAAATGATATTATCCGACCGAGATAGGGGGGAATAGCGAAGGGGAAGGGGCAGCCCACGGGGGAAATAGTGCGCGAAATGAATCGACTATGCCTGCTGGAGACGAGGATTTTCACGCCTTCTACGCGAATACCGTCATTTCAGAAGAAAGCACATGTGTAGTGCTTCTCCCAAGCAATCAAGTCTGTTATGAGTGCGAGGAGATGAGAAAAAACTATAAAAAAGAGCTGCCTTTATGAATAGAATGAGATATAGCACTTATATGGGCGCTATTATTACCTCTTCATGTGCTTGGACTTTACCCAAAAAAAGGTAGAACCTCGGAAAAATGACTCGCTGAACCTGCACTGTTTCTATGGTTTTTCGCAAGCTTCTACGTAATGCTGGATTTGTTCCAAAGAAATTCGGTGCTGATTAGCAGTGTTGGGCGTTCCCATGCCACCTTTCCAAGTAAAAGTTATGAGAGCTCCCCACAGAGTTTGGGATGGAAGAAACCACGGAAGGCGATTGGAGTTTTTAAGAGTCATATCTAGACATGTCACATATCAAAGACGTACTATGCAGATAACTGACAAGTCAAAAGCCCGTACGGGTTGGCGCTATGAAGTGAGTGGCGCTGGCAGATGTCCAAAATTGTGACATTACGATTTTCATACCTCTTATATGGGATTTATTGACCCATAACGACCGACGCCGGTGCTTTTTTTCCGATGCGAGGTTTTTTGTTCATTTTCAATGAAGTGCACAAGTAGGGCCTAGATGTGAAGTGAGTATGTTAGCGCGAGTTATACAACGCGTTTTCTGGTAGCGCTGGAGTTATGCAAGGCACGTAACGAGAGTGAGAAGTGACCAACGAAACACCTTTAACACATGTCTTTCGTATAGACGTCGGCAATTGGATTGGCGGCCGCTGCTCGATCGTTGCCGAGGAGCCTCATCATAATATTTGATTCGACCCCTCCTTTTTGCCTACTTCACTTGCTCTTAAACATGTTTGGAATGCGCTGCTTAAAGCACACAACACCGATGGAACCAGTGAATTACACTGAACAGCCGGTTGTTTGACGGCACGGCCAAATGGGCCCCATTACAAGTTCGGGACCACTGCAGGGGGTGCTTTGTTAAGCAAAGAGCTTCAGCCTTTGCATGTCCTTCTGGGACACAACTGCTACAAAAGGCCACTACAGCCTTCGGACTCTATTGACGTCAATTTTTGGAACGGTCACGAAGGGAGCTAGTAAGCCACATAGTCAGGTACTACCGCCAACCAATTTTTAAGTCCAAAGAGTAACTTATTTGTGGTAGGATAAAAACGATATTTTCTAGCTCACCTGATATGACGGAAGGTTGTCAAGATGTCGGGCTTTTTCTAGTGGTGTACGCTGAAAAAACACATCATTATATAGGAATTTGGTAATTAGGCTTAAGCTTATTCATTATTAATTTGTAATGTTCGTTTTGGAATGAGTTTTTGAAATTCTCCCAAAACTAGCATAAATATTAGAACCTAAGATGCCATTGATAAAGAACACAAATACGCTTATGTATGCCTGCTTGTCGTCGAACGGGCTTTCGTTGTATTTGTTCCTAGTGTCGCGTTTTGTCGACGGTGACTGCTTTTGCGAGGGTTTTTGTCCAGCAGCCGGTGTCGGACGGCGTAGAAGCGCTGTTGACGGGGCTCGTGGTGGTGGCGGTGGTGGTGGAACTCCAACGATCCGCGAGAGCAGCGGCGGCTCAGGCTCCGAACCGAGCATACATCCGTCTAGAGTTTGAAGACCACTAGTCGATTCGGATGGCGTTGACGAGAATGAATTGTTGTGATTCCCAGTGGTGGTGGTGCTTACGGAACTATCGATGTACCGTAGTCCACCCGGTAGTTGCGGCTCGAACGACAGGTTGAATGACGTTGAATATATCACAGCACCAACACCTAGTAACTAGTAGGCGGTAGGAGGTTTTTATAGTAACAAGGAAATAAGTCGTACAGATATGATCAGCTGGAACATAGTGCTAGCAATTGCGGGCTAGAAATGAGGAGCTAACAATTGGCAAGTGGATGAGGGCATAAGTATGCGAAGCGCGGGGGGGGGACGCCTCGCAGCGGCTGCGGCCGACTCAAGTCATCTTTTGAAGACATAGAAGAAGTGTGTGCATGAGTGTGTGTGTATGCGTGTAGGTCCTTGTAAAGTCAAGTGAGGTCGATGATGTTTTTTTTAGAAACCCTTCAACGACGAATTTTTCTCTGCTGTTGCTTAGGCTAGCTTGCGCAAGCCGTAACACCGGCCGGAAGGCCGTGCGGCCATTTTTTTCTACCCAATTCGATGCCTTCCAGCATTTTTCTCACTAATCATCGTTTCCCCATAGAACGTACTCTGTGTGCTAGAGACCTTCGGTTTTCAAGTTAGCATTCACTTCGAGTAACACCTGCTATTACCTCGTTTATGTAGTGCGCATATATAATGGCTCGGCGCCGATTCAGGTATAGAAACGCTATCCGAGGCCAAAAAAGGGGGAATTGGAACGGCTACGCACGCATACTGGACAATCCTGATGCTGAGGGTGTTCGAGCGCGTCGTTCATAAACAATCCTAGCTGATTGAAAACACACAGACACACAGCTGATGGTTACGCCTGGACCACCACACACGCTCATTCCCCCACTCACTCACTCACACTTACACTACCACAGTCAGTTGTTATACGAGTAATAGCACTGGATGGACGTCGTTTCACTAGCACTACACTGTCCACCCATCCGGCGATCCCTCGAACACGGGCGCCATGTCAAAGTGCCCCGCGGGAAATCGTTAACATCAAGGCTGCTTGTAATTTAGACACATTTCGAGGGCATCAGTAAAAATTTAAAAGCAGCCATGAAAGAAACGCGCAGCATGTACACGAAGGCGACACGTTCTCATATCTTATGCAAATGCCTTAAACGCCGAGCACTTTCGTGATTTCAGAGTGAGTGACAGAGCCAGGAAGAGAGTTGGTCGGGTAGAGAGGGAGAGGTAGAGGGAGATGATTGAGAGGCAGCCATGTTGGCCAGAAGGTCAGATTGAAAAAAAAATCGTTTTTTCGACTACTACTATCAGCGTCATTTGCCACTCTACAGCTGTGATATGATGATGGCCCGTAATTGCATTACCACATGTGGGTGAGTGCGCTTGAGAGCAGTATTTAGCACGTCGGTATGTCCTTTTAATGAGATGATTACAGCGATTTGTATACGAGCGTATCGGCTTGAGAATACGTTTGAAATCGAAAGAACGAGCCAAAAAGTGCAACAGGCACTTATGTGGGTGCTGCGAAGACAATAGGACTACGAGTTGATTTCCGCTTTTCGGACCGCTGAAGGGCTGGCAACACTTCGCTATCTCATTGACCTTTTTTTCTACTTTCAGGTCCTGATTTCAGCTAAAAATAATAATCCTCGTGCAACAAAAAGGACCACGACAGTTTCGGGTTAAGCTTTGACGCATCACTGGCCGCGTCAATGGACTTGAGCGGACGCGAATCACTTCGTAATTCAAGCCTGATTTACTCCCGGTATATTACCCCTAGGCTATCACAAAAGGAAAGCATGGAGGCATGGAGAGCTACGTAGCGCGCCACCTCGGTCATGTTCAATTCGATTTCGTGTAGAGCGTACTCATTTCCCTCAGACGTATGCTAACACATGGAATACTGTGGCAGTACCGCTGATAATCATTAGGACGAAATTACCCCAAGTGGGTGATCTACGCTTACGGGTTACCCTCGCGCTAGGGGAATAGAGATACTACCCGTACCCTTATCTGACGACACATTCAGCACTTCGAGCCAGATTTCTTGGTCGCCTCTAGATTGGATGAAGTTTGATCTTGCACTTTGACCCAAACTCCATATGAGCTATGGGTGAAACTTTTTTCTGGGTAAATTCTCTGCTAGAGTTTTGCATCGAGTTTTAGATCTGCTGGTGAAGTACGGGTCTCATTAAGAATGACGTTTCCCATAAAGGTATTGATTTCGAGGAGTTCCTTTTATTTCCCCTTATTTCCCCTGGCGTTCATCCCTTGCTCTTGAACTCATTTCCTGGCTTTCTTACCCTGCCCACATGTCATTAAAAGTTGCAGCTAGTGACTGGCAGCTACGAATAATCATGTCAGACGTTCCATGGTAGCACTTGCCCTTCTCTGATGTGGCTGTGGGAGAGCGGCTCCTCTACCAATTTGAGAAGTCACTTTCAGCCTGAATTGGATGACAATGGTGCCCGGAAACCAAATATTCTGATAGCGAAGAAGGGATGGGAACCCGGGGCCGGCCATCGTCGCCTCATTCTCGTATTTGGCAGTAGGCGTTTTATTCTAACCCACTGTGAGAAATTTCACGGGAACAGGACTGGCTACTCGTCCTAAAGCCAACTGTACTACAGGGTGATTAAAAATCATCATTTGGACGGCCTAAAGTCCTTGTTTCTAACTTTTGAGCACCGACAAGTAAAGCTGAAATCTTTGGAAAGCCAAGTGGATAGCTATCTGGCGATTAATATTTCTCAAGCGTTCGAAACCCTTTCTGAAAACCTGTCCTCTGCAATTTGTTAGCGACAGCGTTCTAAACGAATTATGCTGGCGTTTGGTGATTTTGTCCCTTGCGATCGGTAAAAAGCGTATTTCCACAAATAGGACCAAAATGCTCATAAAAAGGGCAGATTCAGGTATAGAATAATGATAAAAGTTATAAAGTGCAGATCTTCGACGAAGCTTTTCGTAACAGGCTCGCATGTGCAGTTGACGTTACTGTTGTACCATGAATAACTGGTAAAAAAAAACTAAGTAATTTCAAGTTGTGATTGGCTGAAACAACGGGGTTATATGTTGTGTAGCAGCTGGAGAAACGAGATACCTTTTGCTCTATAGCAACGGCCGCTTGAGTGAAAACCCATTAAAAGATTCATGATTCGGTCATTGCTACTAATAATAGCGAATATCGAGGTGAATTTTGTTTTATATGATAATCACCAAAAATCAATAAATCACCTTATACTTCCCTAGACGACCAGTGAATCGTTGCCACGACACATGCCCATGCATTTCATTCCACGAAATCAAAACACATTAGACTAAGTAACGCACGATGTAGAGTTTAGTAAGGTCTAATGACAAAGGCACTTGTTGGACCAGTCGGTGTGACAGCGATCACACTTAATCAGCCATGAATGAGATTAGCATGTCGTCGAATGTGAAGTCATTGAAGAGCTGGAGCAGCAGCGGTAGAAGCGGCAGCAACGGCAGTAGCAGTAGCGCCAGCGGCAACCGCAGCCGTAGCCATTGCTTAGGGGCGTGACGACGGCGATTATCGCGGAAAAGGTGCACAGATTGCGTAGCAGACACCCTCGTTGGACACAGATAGCCACAGAATGCACAGAAACGAATTTAGCATGCGAAAGATGCCACTGATGACGAGTAGGTGGCACGAGGCTGGTCCTCGCATCGGATCGACGACGACATGTCGCCCAACGACGGCTCACTGAGGCGCGACGCGATGCGCCGTGGCTCTTCCAACGCTCCACCGGCATTTCTGTGACATTTTTCCATTTCAATGATTAAATTGTCAAAAATGAAGCATGCTATTTGGGCGTTTGATTATTCCGGCTGAATTGGGCCATCACATCCCACGCATCAAATTTGTTGTACAGACTTATTCTGTTCATTCTCGAGCAGAAATCAATGCCGAAATGTGTGTTTCGGTGCAACCCACGCCTAACTCAACTGACTGAGGAATTAGAGGGACTGCTCAGATTAGATAAAGCCCTCGACACTGCCCACAGCGTGTGCGAACTTCATTTCATCATTCTTAGCTTTTAAAGCCTTTTGCTCTCGCATACCCCGAACGGAGCATCAGACGTTTTCACGAGGAAGTCAATTCACCCCAGCATCAGGATACATCGGTGATGTATTATTTATAACCAGTGATCCTCAAAGTGATAACTGGTGATAAGCAGATTACATCGTGGATCTCAAAAGGACACAATGACGTGGAAGTTTTGAGCTTTGTAAAACCCCAGAGGAGAGTATCTTCGGATATTTTTTTCTATAAATATGCTTTGTTTTGAAAAAATTTGGATGAATTTTGCTCCACTCTGGAAAACTTCTTAGCCAAGGAATAAAGTGAGATTATCAAAACCATGAGCCACTACTTCACCAGGTCAACCTTAGGTCGAGCTTGCGGTGATTTCAAAGCTTAAGAACCCAATTTTGAAATGATTCGGACGAAATGAAAAAGGGATTTCCTAAAGCTTACTTAGAATCCCTAAGTGGTTACCTCGAAATGATTCCAACACCTTATTTAAATAAATGATCCAAGAGCTGAAAAAGTTTTTAACTCGCAATGCCAAGATATGTAAGTGCTTCACATTTTTGCAGGACCCGTACATTTGAAAATCAAAATACAGCCCAAAATATCAGCAAATTGCTCACGGCTCTTTTGCTTTTCTGTTTTTCTTTCAACTTCCCCGTCCTTTGAAAGGGGTGGACACTACAGATTTTTGGAAATAAGCAGCTGCCGTTATCCGAAGTAGCGGTCAGGCATTCATTTGTTGTGGGAAATTCAACGCGTCGTGAAATATCTGCATTTTTTTCTTTGGGAGGTTTTGTAGTCAGCATTGTTTTTTTAACACTCTTCAGACGAAGTTAGAATAGAATCCAGAATTAGGAGCGAAATTTGGAATTTTACTTGGTTTTCATCCGGATGTTCCCTACGCCACCGCTCCCTTTCTCCCTCGCCTCATTCCTATACGTTCCTAAAATTGTGGAACATTAGGCATTTTGGAACTCCACTGGAAAATAGTAAGGGCAATCACCTGCCTTAACCCAGCGCGACGCTTGACGTTTAACGCTGTTTGAGTCCTAGATAGGATACTTGCTGCATGCATCGTTAACCCATTCGCGACCGCGCAGGATTGCGCAACAGCAGCAGCGTCAGGAGATTTTTCTTCAATAAAATACGAGTGGAGGAAGATTTCCTCTGCCCAGGGCTGGCGTAGATGAGCGAGGGTATGAAGATTCTTTCCATGGAAGAAAACTTTTCAAATTTCATTTCAAGCCCTGCAGCCACAGTAATACCATTGTCCCGAGTGAGAGCTTTGTCAGCCACCGGTGGCTGACATTGTCACGAATGGGTTAAGTTCCTATACCGACCTGGATGCAATGATCCAATCTCTAGAGCGCCGTATTCCACGCAGGTTCACATTGTGATGTGCACAACAGAATGACCTTGCCGCAAATGTATGCAAATTAGTGGGCATTTAAGCATGTTGCAGCACATCGTAACGGGGCAAATGTGTTGAGAAGTAATCCTCCGAAATTCCCACGTGATTTGTCGATAATTTTCTGACGACAACCAACGCAGTCAGTTGACGGCATGTGTCTGCCCTAATACATGTCTCATACGTATAGCGGCCATCATCGAGTCTTCGATTTCATCGGGGTAAGTCATGCGTTGTTTTTCAAGACATTTAGATCAGTAATAATTGTTAGTAATCTTACTAGAAAACTACTGTTTAGGAGCATCTTGACGCTTCGTTCGAAAGCAATGGCGTAGTCAACAAAGCATCAACTGACTAGCAAAGGCTAAGCTGCTGGTCTTTAGGCAGCTTAACTTTCGAACAATCAGAAATTTTCATGGTTATTGCTAATGGAATGCGTCATTCATGACAACCTTGAAATTCGGATGCTAGGGATGAAATTCAGGTGGAAATAGGTCGTTCGAGCCGCTCACTCACCCGGGTGGCTGAAAAAGACAAAACATCGTTAGTTGCGTAACAAGTTTGTTGAGTTACACCAGTGAAAATATATATTATTTTGAAAGGTTTGAAAATAATTTACAAGAGTAAATTATTTGATTAATTGAGGTGCATAGTTACCGGAAGCAGTTCTTACTCTGAATGATGCATTAGGCATTGGTGGACGAGATTTCGGTGTACTTGTTGAGTGGCTCTAGTGATGATGACCTCGCTCCAATGAGCAGTGAAATGCTAGTGGCATGTGAGTGGGAGATCGATTTGCATTCGCTATGCCATAATTGAAATCAAGCCCTATCAGACCTTCGACAGCTGTCTAACTGAGCGTGAAATCGGCGACAATTGGGACCAAGTCGGCGGCGTGGGACAGGGCCCGGCGCCAAGAAGTCGGAGGTGGACACCGTAGAGCCAACTGAATTCTAACACTCGTCATCGAAACCCCTTGACACCACTCAACGAGTGAAAACTGACCCAAAAAACATGAAATATCAACGCATGCACTCTTGCTTGAACGTGACCTCAAAAAAGGCTAGGAAAATATATTTCGATGTCGCATATTGGATCGTTGCCAACTTCAATCGACCCCCCCCCCCCGCCTGCTGTTGTGGAGGTTGAGCAGGCAGAGGTGTCTCACCTTAGTAGGTCGGAACATTCGGTGGTTTCTTTTTCCGATGATTAATAGTCATTTGCTGTAGGGAGGATGAGCTAGACCCATGCTGAATTCGATGTATTTCGAGCGGAATGCAAGGAATTCATGATGAGAGTACATAAATGTATAAAAAGATGAATGATGATTGAGGAACGGGGTGCAATTAACGTAACAGAAAGAAAGTAGCAGTCAGTGGGGATAGGTAAGTAGAATGCAGTATTGTTCTACAAGTGCCAGAAAAAACAACTAAATAATTAACAGGAATGCGGTCGCAAAGGGCCCATCGTATGGGCGTAATTTGACGTTACAAAAGATGTATGAATGAAAGCAAAACCGGTAACTGCGTTTTCGGGAATGTACATCAAATTATTGGTTGCTAGCAAATTACTTCTAGGGAATGCCCTGTTATGGAATGTTCTTTGAAAACGGTCTATTAATCCCGAAATCGTGAGAGAGAGCCTACATAAGCAACAGGAAATGAATGTTCATTTCAAAGAACGATGACTGATTTGAGCAGTAACTTGTTAACTTTTAGGATTTTTTGAAGCACGCCTCTCAAAGTGAAATGATTTAGCGCGTATACCAAGCGCTAGGCCATTGAAATAACTTATTTCACAGGCTTACAAAGCTATGGAAAATTTAAAAATTTTCTACTGTTTTTTGCATAAACGAGTAGGAAAATCCAACGAAATAATATTAGTTGAAAATGATCCAGTTATTCAATAATTACAAATAAAGGCAAGCCAGAAGATATCCCCTCATTCTCATAGTTAGATGATGGTTAAAATGAGCTTTTTTGAATCGGAGCTAAACATTGTTAGAACCATGGGATTTTTTACTCTCTTCGAAGTGTTTCTACGGACAATCTATTTTTATTGGCCCAGGTTTTCAACTGACTCCTCAAATTTCGGGCTACTACGCTAAACTCGATCTTCCTAGGCATTTTTGAATCCCACAGGGTTCTGAGATGAAACCTCCTAGCGCTTCCTTATGTGTATGTGTTGTTGGAATTGGTTAACCCTGGGCAAGAAAATTTCTCATGAATTCCTGGTGACCCAACTTCCACACCTCCTTTTCCAACATGGCGTTACACACCCCTTCGAGTCGAAAATTTCGACGATCGGGGAGGGAGGGACAAAGGGTCATACAGGTGAGAATTAATACTCGGTTCTAAATTACTCTGTTTTAGATAAATCTATTAGATCCCCTTCTGAGCCAAATCACACTTTACAACCCATTCCAAAAAAGCTGAATAATTTCGCGACTCATTCTTGACCCTGCTTCGGACCCCCACTATGATTTCGATACCGCAGTATAGTTGAGAGTAATCACTGCTATAAAGAAGTTGGACTGTTAAGTGGCCATTAACGCCCAATGATGGATATGTTTATCTAATCGGGAGAGTTAGCATACGGCAATTGCTCTCCAATCGAATAACACCATCAAAATAAGAGGGGCAAGAGTAGTAATGAGGCCAACAGACACGACAAATGTGGGCGCCGAAGTTGAAATAAAAAGCTAATCGAACAAGGATATTTAGATGTGATTCTGAAAATAATTGACAAATTTGGATGAGACGAGAAGAAGGCGACATCATTCCGGTGACTTTCTTTAAAAAAACTGGATCAATGCCAAGATGACTT